TATTTCAAGCCTCGGTGCGTTTGCACATGCCAATCCGGCCACCAGGAAAGCTGTTCTCCCGCTGTTCTCTCTCTCTGAAATTTTCTAGGTCATCCATTTCCCCCTCCACCCCCCTCACCTTGGGCCTTCCTTTGAGCTTATTTAAAATTCTCTACAGCACTTTTCACACCAGGTATAGTGCCTTAGCTCCACTCAAGTTTCTTGAAAACGAGGAACCTGTCATATTCCGTGTGCCCTGTCTCAGATGCTTAAAACAAGACCAGTTCCCCATATGACTGCACTCACATGTGAGATATAAAACTGAAACTCATGGACACTAACAGTGTGGTGGTTGCCTGAGGGAAAGGGGACATGCATGGGACCTAATATATGGTGATAGAAGATGATTTGACTTTGGGTGGTGGGTACACAGTGCAATATACAGATCTTGTAACACAGAAATCCATACCTGAAACCTATATAATCCTATTAACCAATGTCACCCCAATAAACTTAAATAAAAAAAAGGAAAGTAAGACCAGTTCCCTGTACCAACTGTAGAATTCAACACTATCAACCCTGCACTTGTGCACCAACAGGACCAGCAGCAACGGACTTCAGGTCATTCACAGCAAAACTGAAGTCAAAACATTAATTCCGACTTAGTGAGGAAAAGCCTGAAAGCATATGGATCTGGAGACATAAGAGAAGTGCCCTCTCTGGTTCCATTAAGGTTACTACATGGGAAGAGGAAGGTGGGATGGGAGACGAGCTCATAGAGACCAGCAGGAAATGAGCTACACACAAGAGAAAAATACAACTCAACTAAAAACAAACAAACAAACAAAAAAAAAACAGGCAAAATACATAGACTGAGGCATTCCAGGAGGAAATACAGATGGTTCATAAGCATACGCAGAGATAAGCAACCCCATCAATAACTGGGGAAAAGTGAAGACTGCAAGGAGTTCCCACAAACCCCATCAGTTTGAAAAAAATAAAACAGAAAAGCTGCACAAAAACAAGGGATGGAGAAGAATGGATCAGCAGACGTTTTAACATGCTGCTGGGACTCTGGGAAAAATTTCAAATGCTCTTCAAAGGCCTGTCCACCACCCTCCCACCATTCCACTCCCGGGCACACACCCACCCAGGAGAAACACTTGCTCGCATATGTGCACCAGCAGACCAATTCCAGAAGGTTCAAAGCAGCATTTTTCTAAACAGTCCCAAACTGAAAACATCCCGAATATCAACCAACAAAGGATACTTTTAAATCGATCCCTGCAATGGAATAACTACAGAGCAGAAAGAACTACAGCTACCTCCCTCAATGTGTATGAATCTCACAACGCAGGACTGAGTGAAAACTCCACTTACATAAAGTTCACAAACATGTAAAACTAACCATGTAGTGTTTGGGGAAACATACACATGCAGCAAACCAATACGAAAAGGAAGGGATGAAAGGCAATCTCGGGAAGCGGGAGGGAAGGGAATGGGACCGGGAGGAGCACGGTGGGGAGGTTAACAGCATATCTTTGCTTTTAAGCTGGGTGGTGGGAACGTGAATGTTCATTATATTCATTTTCTGTGCACTATTCGTGTGATAGACACTCTTTTGTATTTAAATTTCATCATGAAAACATTTAGAGAACGTGCTAGGGGTGGGCAAACTTTTTGACTCGAGGGCCACAATGGGTTCTTAAACTGGACCGGAAGGCCGGAACAAAAGCATGGATGGAGTGTTTGTGTGAACTAATATAAATTCAAAGTAAACATCATTACATAAAAGGGTACGGTCTGTTTTTTTTTTTTAGTTTTATTCATTTCAAGCGGGCCGTAGTTTGCCCACGGCTGTTAGACAGAAGACTTGCTAACAACACTGAGAAACTCAGACGAAAATGTAAGGGGGGAAACTAAGACCAGATAACCTGGGAGGGAGATGAGCATGAAGCAGAACCGTCCCAGGGGAGAGATGCCAGAATGGCAAGAAAAAAAACAGAAGGGAAGGACTGGGGACATCCAAGTCCCCAACGGCAGTGCCACTTAAAGAACGGGCAGGATTGAGTTTAGGAAAGGCCCGGACCAACACAGAAATCCGTATTCTCAGATGAATGGATAAAAAAGTGTGGGATATACATACACTGGAATACTATTCAGTCATAAAAAAAAGTCATGGACATTCTGAAACATGCTATAACAAGGATGAAACTTGAAGACATTGTGCTATATGGAATAGCCCGAATGTAATGCATAAGCACTTCGTGATTCACTTTTTTCTAGGTACCTGGAATAA